CCATGACAACGTCTTTGTCAGTTTTCTTGTGAGTTAAAACTTTTATCACTGAGCTGATTTTCTCCCTCCAACCTCGTGACGAAACATGATCTGCGATGCACCGTTTGTAAATGTCAGATTAAGCAGATGTCCATGCACACACACACACTCACACACACCAGCAGCAGAGCAATCGAATGTCATCAGCTCTCCTCATCTGCTCCTCCTCATCTGGAGTGTTCTTCACTAACTTCTGCTGAGCTTAAATTACTGAAAACTGAGGTTTAGAGAAGATTTTTCTTTTGTTTTCACTTTTTCTTTTTATTAAGTCTCAAGTCAAACCAGCTGTCTCCCTTCAAAGCTTAATAAAAATTAGATCATTAAGAGGTTAAAGCAGACAGCAGCTGCTGACTGGACCTTTGTATAGGTGAAAATATAAATTATAGAAATTATTAGAATAAAAAGGAGTGAAACAAGAATAAACATTTGGGAAATGTTTTTTTATTAAAGAGACTATTTGTGAATTCATATAAAAGAGTTGTGTTGTTGTTAAAATGTGGGACTCTTCAGGTGTCGGGTATAATTTCAGTTTATTCCAAACTCATTTTCCTCTGATGAAAGTTTTGTGTTTTATTGAATTTTTTTATAATAATGTCAAAACGTGCACTTTTATATGGCAATTAGTCCAAAAAACGTGTTTGAATTTGAGTTTTAGTCTGCTGATGATTAATTTGGGTTACACACTTGTGTTTTGCGCAGCTGTGCACGCGCTGGTCCGTGGAGCTGGTAGAGAAGCGCGGCAAGTCAACTGTCGGGGTTTGGGCGTGCTGGGGGGTATTCTCCTGTGGCTCGTGACTGACGCTCAGCTCCCTTCACGTATCTGCGTGTGTGCGCTGGTTGCGCGCGCGCTGCCGCAAACGGCCAGGTGAAGTGATGATGATGACGATGACGTTTGGTCATCGTCAAACGTTGGTCTGGAACTGGTTTTGGCGTAAAGATCGCGCTGGGTTGCGTTCTGCGGCTGCTTTTGCGCTCGTCTCCTTATCCTTATCCTCCGTATCCTTATAAGGATACTCCGCGTGCGTCTCTGCGATAGGCCAGCAGGTTTAACCCTTTCTCTGCTGAATTTTAATTGATCCAGCCGGCTGAAACAACACCTGCAGGCTTTTTTCACTTTATGCTGCAAAACCTCATCCTTAGATTTGTGTGTGTGCGCGCGCGCGCGTGCGTGTGTGTGTAACGGCTAAACGGATGATTCCTTACATCGACGTTTGACTTATCCACACGTTAACCCCGCAGAAACCCCCAACAATGCACTCATGACCGTGTGTGACCTTGACCCAGAGGACGAGGAGTACTAACGCATCTTCACGTCCTCCGAGTCACGCGCACCATCATGGATCATCACGCGCTCAGCCCACCGTGGCCTTGACTTTGGTCGGACCTATTCGAGTCAGATGAGTCAGTGTTCCAGCCAAGATAGAATCTCTCAGGTGTTCTCCGTTAGTGCTTAAAGTGATCAGGTGACAAGTCGATTGGTTCTGTTGACGTGACGTCACGCAAAAATACCAGATTTAAGACCCCTGGATGCTAAACAAGGGTTCTGGATTCATCCAGTTCCACAATCAGCAGGAACAAATGCTGCCTTCGTGGTCTTCCCTCAGCTCGGATTTTCGACAACTTCTACACATTCACTCTTCAACAGACTGAGTCACTAACTTCCAACCTTGTAGATAGATTTCATGTGATGATTACTTTTTTTTAAAACTGGATAAGAAGTTGGCTGAATTAAATTGATTGTAATTAGAGAATGTTTAACTGATAAATAGCACATGTGCACTGATGAGGAGAAAGAATGATAATGGCAAACCTCAAATCTGTCTAACTGAAATCCAAATAATAATCACAAACAACAGCAAACATTCAGAATAAACAATAAACAAGACTGTACTAAAATATCAATTCAAACAGGAAATAAGGAAATGCACATTATTTGAAATTGCATTAAGATGATATCAGCTCAATGTCTGTAAAACTAAGTTTCTGCTATTTTTGTGTTCAATCTTGAATCAGGTTATTTAAAATTCAGTTAATTTTTTTTACAAATCACCTTCGTGCTACCAATCAAGAAAACCCAACCCATGCTTTACATGACAAAGGCTAATTGTGTGCAGAGGCGCTGTGTGCCAACAGGCAAGGGAGGCGATTGCTTGTGGCCTGACCCAGAGTGCCGATAAACTTTGAAGTCAGAACCTTAACCCTGCAATGGTAGATTTGGAAAACGATTTAGCTTAAAACATTTTTTCTTACCTATTAACAGCATTCTAACATAGCTATGAATATTTTGTGGAGATTTTAAAAGATGAAGAAAATAAAGTGGTTTTCATGCATTTGTCTATAAAACCTCCGCCAATAACGCCTTTCAGACTGAAAGCAACTATGGGACTGGTTGTCGGTCTCGCTGAACCACCGCACTTTCTTACTTCCCTGGGTCCTCCATTCATTACACCCTTGGGTATTTAGCAACAGAACTGCTCACCCAAATCCAGCTGACCCGCCACCCAGAACCATCATCATCGGCGATTCCATCATCAAAAACATCAGGATGAGAGGAGCCATCACTCGCTGTTTTCCTGGAGCGACAGTCATGGGCATTGCACAATAAATCCCAGACCTCATCTAAATTCACCCAACAGTGAGTAAAATCATAATCCATGCCGGCACCAGTGACATCTGCAAGCAGCAGTCTGAACTCCTCAAGCATGATTTTACCCATCTTTTTAATCTTGTAAAAAGCACACACCTGTGTGTTTTTATCTCTGGCCCCATCCCCACCGTCGACAGAGGAATTGGATGTTTTTGCAGGCTTTTATCTCTGAACACTTGGCTTTCCTCTGTCACTGTGCAGCAGAACATCAGTTTTATTAACAATTTTAACATTTTCTGGGGCAGGAGGCATCTGTTCAGACCAGACGGGCTACATTTAAATAGACAAGCCTTAATGAGCCTGGCCTGTCCACGACCTCCTCTGTCCATCACACCAACCCCAGCTGCCCCCACGTCCTGCTGCCCCACCCCCAGATTTTTTATTCAAGAATTTCAAGAGTTTTTATCTATTTTACTCAACTCCTTTGATAGGATTATTTCAACAGGTGATTTTAATCTAAGTGTAGATAACCTTTTAGATCCTCTAGTCTTAGATTTTTTAAATATCTTGAATTTTATGGATTTTGCTCAACGTGTCACGCAGCCAACTCACAACAATATTTTAGTTTTATTGGACATTTATGTATTAGTGTTTTACTATCTTTTAATCACTATTTTAGTTATTTTACTATCCGTATTACCCATATATATATATATATACATTTTTTTTAGTTTTGTGTGTGTGCATGTGTGTATTTCTTGTTTGTGTGTGTGTGTGTGTGTGTGTGTGTGTGTGTGTGTGTGTGTGTGTGTGTGTGTGTGTGTGTGTGTGTGTTCCTTAGGAAATGGGTTGTGGGATTTTTTTTGGGGGGGGGGGTGCAACTGTCATAATTATTTTTATTTTTTTGGGGAAGTGATGGGATTATGGGTTATACGGGGTGATATTAACCTGTAGAGCACTTTGAGCTGTATTGTTTGTATATGAAAAGTGCTATACAAATAAAGTTTGATTGATTGAAGTTTGAGAACACCACTGGTTCTCTGCTCAATAAAATCAGAGAAGGAGAAAAAACTGGCTGCTACCACTTCAACTTTAGGACAAACTACACAATTCAATTCAGTTTATTTATATAGCGCCAAGTAATGACAAGAGTAGTCTCAAGCACTTCACATAGTAAAGATTCCAATATACTTCAGTTCATGAAGCCAATCAGTAAACAGTTTTCTATATAAGGAACCCAGCAAATTGCACTGAGTCACTGACTAATGTCAGTGTCTTTACAGCAATCTTAGCATACTTAGTACTTAGTATTAATACTGAGCAAGCATTTAGCAACAGTGGAGAGGAAAACTCGCTTTTAACAGGAAGAAACCTCCAAAGGATCCTGGCTGGCTCAGTATAAGCAGCCATCCACCACGACTCATTGGGGATTAAGAATACAGAGAAGACATACGCACACATCCACACCCACCGACACACACACACACACTCATACAACCACATAGACACACTGCACATATACCAAGTAGGGTTTCTATGGCTACATTGTGATTTGTTAGAAGATATTTTATTTAGTAAGAGAAAAACTTTGTCTTTATCTGAGTGAACCTATAACTAACAGGTGAACTAGTAGTAGCACATTCAAAATCAAAGAAAGTTAAATGTTATTATCGGAGAGGGAGAATGTTTAAGTGGTTAGCAGCAGTGTGCCTACCACAGTCCCAAAAAGAAAAACACAATTTAAAGTCAGACGTTTGGACCTAGAAAATGGCGACTGGTGTTTAACACCATCTTGTTTAGTCTATGTCATGGCGGGATTCCAATTTCAGCAGAAGCGTCTGGGAAGATACTGGAGTCGGGAGGGGTGAGTGTTTGCAGATTCGTTAAAACAGCTTTAACTGGGGTGAGACAGTTAAATAAAACCCCATCCCCAATATGGCCAGGCAGAAATTCTCAGTGGAAATGTGTTTTCCGCTCTGCGACACCACCACTTCACCTGCTCGCGAGAACCGCAGCATTCTTCCAAACGATCTGCGCAGACAGCAGATCTTTTTGTGTCTGGGGCACCACCTAACCTCGCAGATGATCGTGTGTAGCCTGTAGCTACTGGGATATTTTGCTAAATAACAACAGAAAAAGTAAATCAAGCAGATTAAATATTGCAGTGATGCTGACTGGAATATGATTTCGAAATCTAAATGTAATCGATAAAAAGCAAACACCAGATTAATTACCAGCATTAAATGTGCGTTTGATTTTCAAGTCCTAAACCCTTTATTTCCAGACACCCCATGAACGCACCGCGGCAGCCATCCTCGCCCCCGTCACCTCCCCCCACTACGTGACGTCACATCCACGTTCATTTGCATTAGTGTTTTCTGGCTGCAGCTCCGACTTGCCTGCAGAGAGAGAGGATCTCCGAGGGAGGAGAGGCGCAGCGACAACGGGAGGATGATGAGGAGGGGGGGAGGTTTTTACATCAGAGAAGACGAGCTGGAATATAAATAAAACATCTAGAACGATCTGAGTGGAAGGAGAAGGTCTCCACGCACTCCTGTGGTGGATCATGGAGCTCCCCGCCGCTGGAGAGCACGTCTTCGCGGTGGAGAGCATCGAGAAGAAGCGCAGCAGAAAGGTTTGTCCCGCTGGAGAAAAAAATGCAGCTTTGTTTCTGCCTTCCCTGCCTTCTTTTAACGGCTCTTCTAATTTTATTTTAATAATATTATTGATTTAAACACATTCTGCTGTAAGGTGTCGGCGCGCGCGCGCTGAAGTAACGCAATCCCGTTTGCTTTGGTCCTTAGGGGAGGGTCGAGTATCTGGTCAAGTGGAGAGGATGGTCTCCGAGGTGAGTCCAAACATGTCACAACATCCGGAACCACTGGCCCGGTTCATGTGAGCATTCTTGCGAGCGTGGGCGCGCAGATGGGCGGTTGCGCGTTCCTGTTTAGGCTCTGATGATGGATGTGGTTTTACTACGCGCACAATCCCCAGCGTGCCAATTAAAGAACGACACGTCTGTGGCTGAACACGATCTGGTTTTGAGTGTTTCCTCCTGCTGCTGCGTTAAAGTCCTGATCCACTATGTTTGTCCTGATGAGGGGACGGGGGGGGGGGGGGGGGGGGGGGGGGGGGGGGGGGGCAAATTTCTGACCATGAAGGGTGCTGATGACTTTGTTCTGTCTCCTGTGAGGACAGGTATAACACCTGGGAGCCTGAGGAAAACATCCTGGATCCAAGGCTGCTTGATGCCTTTGAAGACAGGTAAGAGAGTCGGACAAATCAGCTGCACAAGATGAGCGAGAAATAAATTAACAGAAGCAAACTAGTTTAGATCCACAGTGATGATGTCTGACTTCACACCCCTCATGCAAAGACGTGTGTGTGTGTGTGTGTGTGTGTGTGTGTGTGTGTGTGTGTGTGTGTGTGTGTGTGTGTGTGTGTGTGTGTGTGTGTGTGTGTGTGTGTGTGTGTGTGTGTGTGTGTGTGTGTGTGTGTGTGTCCTGAGTGACTGATTTTCCTCAGGTGTGCTGATAGTTCTCCAGCCGAACTGATGCATGTTTACAAAAGGATGTAACCTGGTTTCAGCTGCTGCTTTTGGTTCAGATGCACAAAACCGGTGCAGTTGGTCTGAATCTGCAAACAGGAAACTAAAGAAAAATCAGGTTTAGCAAACAAAAGTATGACAAAAAATGTCAAATTAAACGTAAAACTGGATTTGCACATGATCCCAGTATTTTTGGAATATGTTCTACAGTGGTCACGTGTTTTTCCACATGGTGTCCAAATGTGTGAATTTCACGAACTTGCTGTTGATATCTCATACTAACAGCAAGTGACCCTAAACGAGGACGTTTTCATTCTTTAAAACAGTCATTTTCAAGTAAATCTGATTGTTTTTAAATGCATTCAGTTAATTTTTAACCTTTACAATAAAACTGATCTGGTTAAAGCTGGAATTGGCACGTCAGAGCATAACTAGAATCGGGAATCGATATTGGCCCGAAAAACCAGAGTCTGTGCATCTGGAGCTCAAGAGTCAGCATCTTCTTACAGTGTGAAGGTTCTGCTCACCAGAACAAGAAAGTGTTCTGCTGGGTTTCTAATTGTCGCACAAACTTTAAAATCCTTATCCTAAAAACACTTGTTAGGGAATTTCTGCTGTTTTTTTACCTCCTGATTCACCCTTTGCTTATCATTAAAAAAGATGTCCAATCAGGTCAGAGACGCTTCCTAAAGGTCACATGACTTCAAGTCATATTCGACTGGTTTCATCACCTTGCCGTGTGACGCTCCCACTGATGATGTAACCTAGGTGTAAAAGAGGAAAGCACCAGTTCAGGAAGCTAATCCCAACAAACGTGTGTGTGTGTGTGTGTGTGTGTGTGTGTGTGTGTGTGTGTGTGTGTGTGTGTGTGTGTGTGTGTGTGTGTGTGTGTGTGTGTGTGTGTGTGTGTGTGTGTGTGTGTGTGTGTGTGTGTGTGTGTGTGTGTGTTCACAGCTGCAGGAGTGTGTGAGTGAATTTCTCCAAAGTGTTGAACTGTCACTGGCTTTTCTCTCGGCCTCCTTCAGCCTTGGCGTGCAGCAGCCTCTGAGTCGTAGGTCACACGTCAGAGCCCAACGCCGACGTTGCTCTGAGGCTGTTTTTGCAATTATCTCCCTTAAAGGGGAGGGGGTTTTATTGAAGCTAATTGTGCATCTCTCTGGGGAGCCGAGTCGTCTGAATGCCAGGCTATGAAAATACACCGAGTCGTCATTGTAATTAGATGTGAGGGGAGGAGGGCGGGGGGGAGGAATCTGACATCACCCCTGTCTGTGGTGTTCGGTTACTGCCTGAGAGGAGAGGAGAAGTTACAGGAACTTTTAACGGAGGTGGTTTTTTTAGAATTCTCTCCTTAAAGCAAAAGTTTGATGTGTGCGAGACAACGATCCTCCTGAAGGTTTGTTTCAGCATGAAGAAAGACCGAGTCCAATTTAAAGAGTGTGTTCGAGCCTGAGGAGGACACCCGTGACGTGTTGCCATGCAACGGTGACTTGTCTCTGTGAGATGGTTCACTGATCGCCTGCTGTTTTCCACTCCCACAGGGAACGCCAGGAGCAGCTGATGGGATATCGCAAGCGAGGACCAAAACCCAAACACGTCCTGGTCCAGGTAGGAAACCTCAGATTTTAATTGCTTTGTTTATTTTTTTTATTAGTATTATTACCATCTGAAGTCTAATTCACCACATAAAATTTGACATTTATTTTGAAAATTCCCATATAAAAATTTGCAGGTTGGAACATCTGGAGTCAAACTGGACTGTTTTTTTATCTCCCAATATGAAACATCTTTAGTGAGATTTTCAGCTGCCTGAGTACCTTTGAGCCATGCGTCAGAGGATGTTCTTCTCTTCATATTTTATGCAAGTTAAATCCAAACTCGCAAGAAAATTTTCACACTTTTTTTGGAATCACATCAAACTGGAACAGCTGTCAGGACTCTGACGTAACTGCGTTTAGCCCGAGTCTTCTGGGTTTAAACTGTTGTCAGGCGACATCCAGAAGGGAGTTTCCAAGGTGTCTCGAAACATTCTCGAGATTTCTGTGTTTCCTCAGCTGAGTCACTGGCTCTGGTTTTGCTTGAACACTAGTAAAACTGCTGGACCAGAACTGGTCTCAAACCAGTCTCAGTTTTTGTCCATCGAGTTCAACGGTGCATGAGCTGTGAGACAGTTTTGGGAGGGGTTGGAGACCAGCCTGCAAACATACTGAGATGTTTTTAAGACACCTGATGACTAAATTACAAGAAAATTAGCTCAACTTTGGCAGTTTGCTTACATGTTCTGACCCAACCCAAAATCGGTGTCTTCTTCTTTCTCTTTTGGCTTGTACCTTCAGGGGTCTCCACAGCCAATCATCTGTCTTCATTAAGTCCCATCTTTTCCATCCTCTACCCTCACACCATCTAACTTCATGTCCTCTTCCACCTTTTTGGTCTTCCTCTCAGCCTCCTGCCTGATGGCTCCAACGTCAGCATCCTTCTACTGATAAAATCATCATCTATCCTCTGGAAATGTCCAAACTGTCTCTGTCTGTCCTCTCTGACTTTATCTCCATAGCATGCAACATGAGCTGTCCTTTGATGGACCATGATCTTGTAGTTTCTGTTTCCAACAACCACTATCCAGTGAGACACTGGTTTACCCTCTTTAGCACAAACCCACATGCTGGGAGGTTTAGACCATTTACCTTTAATGTTTTCATTATCAAACATTTGAGGCTGAACTTCTGGTCCAGTTATAACTCAATAACTCCGTTTTTGAATCAAACAGGAGCCTAAATGGCCAGCAGACCCATGGGAGGAGTGTTTTTGTTCATCCCAGGAGGGTGTTTTGGTAACACATGGGATAAAGTCAGTGACTCTACACAAAGCATCGAGTGACATTCCTCTGAGCTGAGGTCACAGCCACAGGAGACACTTTGAAATGTCACAAAGATCTCCGAGCCGGTGGCTCAAAGCTCTGCAGGGGAACCGCGTGAACAAGGCCCCCGAAACTAACCGAGCGCTCATTTGGGCCTCACTAGAACCCCGGTCACACATTCCAACGAGGTACCCTGCCTCACACGTGTGGATACTGGGGACAGATCATCAATCAGTTCTCGTCCCTTTTTAAACAACGTCTTTATGAGTAAATAAAGTTTGAGTAACGTTGATTCCCTTGTTTTTCAGGTGCCGTCTTTTGCCAGGAGGTCCACCATTCTGGCAGATCTTCAGGAGTCGTCCCTGGAAGACGACAACTGTCAGAAGTCCAGTCCCATCCAGATGATTTGTCCCCAGGTCCAGCAGTACCAGCTGAACAGCAAGAAGCACCACCAGTACCAGCCGCTGTGCAGGGAGTCGGAGCAGAAGAACAATGGCAAGAAGTTCTACTATCAGCTGAACAGCAAGAAGCACCACCACTATCAGCCGGACCTGAAGGTGCACGAGCCAGTGTTTACCAAGCCGCAGGAGGTCAAAGCTCCAGAGCTGGTCAACAAAGGCTACAACCTGCCCCCGGCCCTGCAGCAGAAATGGGTCCGGGACAAAGACTCGGGCTGCCTGACCAAGGTGAAGGACATCACCATGGAGCTGAAGAAGCTTCCTGCTGACCTTAACGGGCACAAAGAGCCAGAGAAAGTCGAAGCTACAGAGGACGCATCGCCACAGTCCAACGGCGTCAGAAGCAGCAAACTTAAGATCGTCAAGAACAAAAACAAGAACGGGAGGATTGTTATCGTCATGAGCAAGTACATGGAAAACGGGATGCAGGCGGCTGCAGCTACAAACGGGGACGCTGCTGAGAAGTCGTCCCAGAGAGCCGACAGCAGCATAGAGAATCACCTTGCTAAGATGAAGCTTGTCAAAAAACTCGGACTCGTCAATGGATTTGTGAAACACTCCAAAGACAAACCAGCTGTTCTCGGCTCTGGATTAAATGGAGATGGTCTCAAGGAAAAGGAACCGTCCCCTCTGGTAGGGCGGACTGAGACGGAACAGGAGAAACCAGAGGTCAGAGGTCAAGGGAAGTTTCTCGAGGATCAGCCATTACAGCTGACGAGCTCTGGGGCATCTGACGAGAGGGAAAACCGAGCTGGGTCTGGAGGACTGAAGCGACCCGTCGGTGACCTCGGCAGTGAGGATCGGGATGCTAAACGGTTTTTGAGTTGCAGAAGCATCAGTGTTCCCAACGCGGTTCCCTCACCCCCCCTAAGCGTCAGCACGTCCCAAAACGGACTCCAGACTCCCGCTGGACTGCAGGACTGTGGATACGTGGACCAGGAGGAACCCATGGACTTGAGCATGGTCAAGTCAAGGTCCTCCGTTTGCTCAGCGACTGCAACCGAGATGCAAACAGAGGCGGTAACACAAACAGAACCTCAGACTGAAACACACAACGCTTCAGAGGACTCCTCCAACCACAGAACCACTAAAGACGAGACCTTTCCTTCTTTTCAGCCGTGTCTTGGGAACATTGTCATCACGGACATCACCACCAACTGTCTGACGGTCACATTTAAGGAATACGTCGCAGCGTAGCAGCAGCTGGGAACCGCGGCTTCCATCTTTGTATTTCTGGAAGCTTGAATGTAAAACCTGAAGCTTTGATGTTTTCATTTTGTAAAGTTCAGATTCCCTTTCAACTCCTTTATAACGGTTTTTGCATATTTACATAAGCTGTACATATTTGAAAATTTTATCAAACGCTGTATCTAATTTAAACTATTTGAAAACGATCACAACAAAACTGAAGATGCGCTTACTTTTGTAGATAGTTCACTTTTCTACCGAGGGGATTTGATATAAAACATCTCGGATGTCGGGCTGTGGGAGGAAACGTTACACAAGGAGAAAAGGAGGTGAATTTATCCAACAACCACGTGATGCTTTAGTCAGAGGAACAGAAAGCACCTTTGCTCTCGATAAAATGTTTCATGTTTTGGAAACAGAAGGGAATTTTTTTTGTCTCTGATCGACCCCTGGCCCCGTCTTTGCTCCAGGAGGGCAGTATTTAACGGTAAATGATCCGGCACGTAACGTGCATCTCTTCGTTTGACCTGAGGTGTTTTCAGCTGCTCTGTAGGAGCAGGAAATCGTTAATGTGCAGGCTTTCCCATGATGCATTTGGCAATAATAAAAGTGTTTGCAAGAGAATCTGTTTGAAATTTCTTTCAGCGTCTTTAAGGGTGAGGATGCAGCTGCTGCCCAAAACTACAAGCTGAGACTAAATGCTTTAATTCATAAAAGGTGCAAAAAGAAACGTTGAAGCTGCTTACAGTGGTTCATTAGGGTCACTGTGATGACCACACGTGTGTCAGTCCACGGCAGCGCAACGGCAAAAAGCTGCTGAACTTTGCACGGCAGGAAGCTTTAATGGTCATAAACATGTTTACATGTGTTTTAGAGATTTGACCAAAAAAGTCTGGAATCTGAGTTCAAATTGAACTGATTCATGGCTTCTTGGGGGCTCTCCTCTGCACTCTGACAGGGCATTGGAGAGGAAAGCATCAGCCCTACAGTGAAATGGGAAGATGTGGACAAAAACGATTTGATGTTTAGCATTTTTCATTACAAGGGTTTGTTTGCAAAAAGTTTTAAATCAGCTGAACATTCTGTGGGAAAAAATCCAACATTATTAAAGTATAATTATTTAAAAGTCATAAAGATTTCAAAACACCGGTTCAGTGGTGTAAAAATTCTACTTTATATGGTCCGGCAGTCTACCTGAGCTGAGCTCCAAAGGGGGCGGGGCTTTCTCACCTGCTAAAGAAGGGCCTGCAGGATTTATCTGCATTTTATAGGATATGAAGTCAAATAGCACTTTATTCCAAATGAAGTTCGACCTTTTGTTGTTTGGCTGCAGAATGGATCTGAAAACCATCAAAAGTCGTGTTTGATTTGTGATGAAAGGTGTTTTTATTCATGATGACCACGTGAAAGAGAACGCCTGTGAGGTGTTTATAGGGAGCATCTTGATCCTGCAGACCACACCAGACCTGCGTCATGTTTGCGCTTCAGGTCCAGCCAGAACGTTTTCATTCTTGACTACAAATAATCAGTTAAATGGGAAAGGTGATTTCTATCAGCACGTGCCCGTATTAAAACGTGATAATCCATCTGTAAACAGATGATAATTATTAACCTCTTTCCACAGGCGCAGATCTCTGATGGAATTCAGACATTTCTGTGTGAAAATTTTGAGCAGCTGAGAAGCGGAATTCGACCCTGAGCTTATATCAGGTGTCTGTGACGTCAGCAGCGGACGCAGCTTTTATGTTGTTCGTGCACGAACCGAAACTGTCCGTTTCTGTTCCTCGGAACAACAGGGAGTCGCTTTGGGTGTGAGGGGGAATGTGCGCAGCCACATCTCTCTCTCTCTCTCTCTCTCTCTCTCTCTCTCTCTCTCTCTCTCTCTCTCTCTCTCTCTCTCTCTCTCTCTCTCTCTCTCTCTCTCTCTTCTGTTTCTCTCTGCAAAGCGGAATCAGCGCTGGTTTTTGTCTGTTTTTTTGCGCCAGGTGTCTGATGTGCGTCGTTTCCGACGCGTAAATTCTCAGAGGAGGCAGCAGCGCTCGACCATTTCCTCCGCCACCAGAGAAGCTGTTTTTTCCGTGCACATTAATGTGAGCAGCGACAGAGAAAATGGCTGTCCTCGTCTCCTCCTCCTCGCACTTTCTTTTCAGAAAAGCAGCCTCCAAACCGCACTTCACAACTAAACGTGCAACAGTCAAATGTGCGCAAGGTTTTACGCTATTTTCTCCAACGTTTCCTTTGCAAAACGCGCAAAATTAAATAAATGTCCCATAAAAACTGATTATCCATTAAGTGTTGTGTTGTCTGGCTGAGGTGTGACAGCTCCAAAAGCACAGGTGACACGTTTAAGGATAAAAGAATAGACCCCATTCTTCTTCTCAAAAATACGCAAAAGGACGTTAAATGGGTCATGGAGTGCGCCACGTTGAGAAACATTTACATCTAATCATCTGGACATAAATAACTTTTTATTGTTGAGACATACGAGAAAAAACTGTGACGAAGAATCTTGTTTTTAAAGGCGCGTTTGTTTGATAATTTATGGAAAAGGGAATAAAAAGCATGCATGCTGATTCCTAGCAGATTGGAGTTTACATTCGTGAGCCATGAGGTCACCGTGTGGTCTCACTTTTGTGCCAACGGTTCCAGTGTGAATCAAAAACTGGTTACATTTTGGATTAACTATCCAGAAAGCTGTGCGCATGCATGAGGCATCGTCCGCAAATGGCGCAGACCCCCTCCGTGTGAGAAACGGTTTGTTTATCTCTAAAATAAATCAGCCTCCAGACTGGATTCAGGTGTTTCTGGTGTTGTTTGCTATCTGTTCATGATGGGATACAGAAATGTGCTTTTATTACATCACTTGTTCCTTTAAACGCAAAGAGAGATGATCATATTTACAGAAAATTCGCACATTTTTTCCTCCTCTCTGCATTTATTTTTCTTTTTTTGCGTGCCTATGGTCCTGCCGGGGTTTCCCGTTAGTGCGCGTACCGGGAGCCTGTGCGTCTTGCCCGGATACAAGCCAGCCAATGATGTTTTAACGCGGCAGCGGTGGCGCACTGCAGGCGTGCACGGACCAATCGCAGCTGCGGTCTGAGCTGCGCCCATCTTCCACCAAATTTGTGAAGTCTGGTGATTCAAAATCATAACCGAGCAATAAAAACCTGGCGAGGCGAAGCTGTTCACCGACGCGCATTTTGCGTCAGATGTTATTCTCTTCCATCCAGAGAGCGATAAATTCTTTAACTTTGCGGTTTGCCAACCTGCAGTATGTTAAAGATTAAACAGAATTAATTATGTTAATATAAAGGCGTCAACTCGACTTAAACGAGTTTTAAAATTAACGAACAGCGATTATTTGGTTCCCATAAAGTGAGATTAGTTGCAGGATTTGCTCCTATTTAATCTCTCCTGCATCAGTGGTTTTTTAAAAGGCTGTTTAAAGAAATAACGCATCTCCTGACTCATGTTGACATCAGGCCAGGAGACAATCTGTCAGAATTCTGTGTGACTGGTTTGGAGAAAAAGGCAAAGTCGTTTAATCTTCGCAGGAGACAAAACAGATTTACTGTTGGACAATTATTTACATGTTTGACTTAAATTTTGTATTTTTAACTGGATAAACTGTCAGAAAATCCGACCCTTGCAAACAAAATGTTGGGGCTCAAAAAACGTCATTTTATTGTAAATAATGGTGGTAAAATACCCAACTGTCAGTCAGCTATGAATCATATCGGGAAACGTCGCTATAGAAACATAAAAGTTAGCTCAATTATAAAAAAATTCAACTTTAATGAGAGTATTTAACAGACAGTTTTACAATCGAAGTTAATCTTGAGATGCCAAATATTTTCATCCTAATTTATTTTTTAAAGATTTTCTAAAATGTTAAAAACAAAGAGATTTTTTTTTATTTCAGCAGTTTGAATTTTCTGACTTACCTACCAGCCTACAACTAATTAAATGTCCTTTTAATTGTTTTATTTTACCAATATTTATTTCGATTTTTATTTTTAATATTTAGAGGACCGTCGCCAAGAGGGTAGCCTGAATTAGGATATTTCAAATATCAAAACGTTTCCATTTAGTTTATATTTTAATTAAGTTACCAGATCAGTTTTTGAATTATTGTCTAATGAGAACATTTTTATTTAAAATAATAAATTAAACAAGCAGGTCGGCCATGATTTACACAGATCCACAAAGGGCGCATTTCTCAAGCCACTGCTTTTGTTTTATTACCTATTAGAATTTTTGGGGTTTATGAATATGTTTTATTAAATTTCCTCAATAGATCGAATAAAGCAACTTTTGATTTATATTAACGTAAAATAATATACATTTAAATAGGCCTAATTATATGAATTAATTATAAATAACGCAATCAAAGTAATTAGTGTCTTTAATTGTAGTGGTTTCTGTATTGATTTAAGCGCAATTTCAGTTAATTTTACGCAAACTTTAATATAACATGCGCATTTAAAGTCGAGCGGCTGCTAAATTCTGCATGACAAAAATGGTGATAGAGACACAGAGCGGATAAAAGATTGTCTACAATTGTAAATACCGGAAATCCAGTTCTAACTGACTAATTTATCCATTTTAGTGTAACCGATAATTTCCGGCACCGGCGGATGTTTTATATATGACAGCACGCGGTAGCGCCGTCCGTTTAACTGCATTCACTTGAAGCCACGTGCATCTCTGTTCATATCAGAACTGTGTGAGAAGATTCACGCAGCGCGTGCAAATTGAAAAAAAAAAGGGGAGAGAAGGCCACCATTTTATAAGAATTTATCCTTGCCGAAGCTCCGCCCCCTCACTTAGAAACCCGAGCACGTAGCAACGGCTGGACCAATGGGTGCCTTTCTTATGGTTCCTCCGACTGTGGTTCCTTAGCAACACTACAAAAAAACAGCGCTGACGTCCTTTCTGTTCGGTAATATTATGGTCTGTCGGGAATTTAGAGTGGCTGGGACTGGAGAAAGGAGGTGGCGAGTATCTGCTGTAGCAGCGCCCCGGCTGTTAGCTAGCGGTAGGTAGCACTGGAGTAAACATGGAGCTGTCTGCCGTGGGGGAGCGGGTGTTCGCCGCAGAGTCGATCATCAAACGACGGATAAGAAAGGTAAGCGCCAGACGGTACATTCTCCTTCCTTACGGGGGCACGGAACACAGTACAAGTTCGGTGTCGTGTGGTGGTGGCGTTTGGCTGCATGCTAAACAAGTCGTTTGTTTCTGATGGCGCGCAGGGTCGGAGTGAATACCTTGTGAAGTGGAAGGGATGGTCGCACAAGTAAGTCCCTCTACACCCCGCCTGTTACGCCGTGTCGGCCCGCAGCTGGGCTGTCTCGGATCCAGCTAGCTCCTGGGAGCTAGCGGGATTAAATCAGCTCCGTGTCGTTTTATTTAGCTCTTAGGCTAGCGCCAAGCCCCGCCGGTCTGACTTCATGTTTCCCCCCGCAGATACAGCACTTGGGAACCGGAGGAGAACATTCTGGACTCCCGCTTGTTTGTCGCCTTCGAGCAGAGGTAAGACTGTCGGGCCTTATTCTAGACACAGCCCGTGGACACGATGTCCAATAAGTGTAGAGTGTCCTCGACGCACTTTGCCCCCCTGACACTTTAACATGGGAGTCTGTTGATTTGTTTCCCACAGGGAGCGTCAGAGGGAGCTGTTCGGGCCCAAAAAGAGAGGTCCAAAGCCCAAAACGTTCCTGCTAAAGGTACGTTTACCATTCCTGATCCTGTTTCTGTTACAAAACAGCACAACCACACCTCGTCATTTCTATCAGCTTGTTTTCTTTTGTTATGATTAGAAATAAACAGGCATTCTATCATTGGACATATATTTAACAAATAATGGTCATTTTTCATGCTGAAATGAAAGCTTGTGTAACCAGGCTGTTTGTGTGTAAATAAATCTGCCTCTACAGCTGAAGGTCGTTTACCATCCTGTAAAATATAAATGTTAAAAGCCACTGATGTTCACGAGACTAAAACAGCGGAAGGTTTCTTGGGATAACATCTGATCTTTGGGGGTTTATTATAAATCATCACTACTGTTTTAAATGGTAGCAGACCTGAGCTTAAACTAAAACAAGATGGAGGGGAAATCAGTGTGTAAAAACACGCAACTTAAATTACTCATGAATTAAATGCCAGACAAAAAGAAAAGACTCCTACGTCAGTAAATGTTGGTTTATTTCTTCTAGGCCGAATCTCAAGGTAACACCAGGTCTTATGAGTTGAGGAACGAGGCGATCCGAGGGATGGACGTCACCTACTCCTGTCCTGAGCCGGTTGTCACCCCCAGGGCCAGAGAAGGCCTCAGAACCGTCGTTCCCACCATCTTCCCACCGAGTGCCGTCAACCAGGGAGAAAGCATCTGCTTGAGAGCTTCTGACCTGAGCGTTCTTGAACATCAGCGTTCTTTTCATGGAGATGGTTCTGATGAAATCCATTTACCCAGAAAGAGAGGGCCCAAGCCAAAGCCTCTGTTAGAGGACTGTGAGCTGCACGAGAGGCAAGCTGAGGAACCGGTGAGGCGCTGCGCACTGCAGATGGGGGAGGAGATGGGGCTGGTCAGGGTGGCCCACAGACATCCAGAGAACCTCAGCCACAAACACCACCACCACCCGCTGAGCCGCCCGGTCTCCAGCAGGACTTCCTACTACCCATTCTACTCGGACAACAGCCGGCACACACACACAAACCTTTTGGACACACACAGGACTAAAGATGGCTCCAGGTGCTCAGCTCCGGCCCACTTTAAGCACCACTCCAAAGTGGGCCCGAGTCGACCCGCTGCACTTCCGCTCATGGAAAAGCCGTACTTCCTGGACCGGCCATCGCCGACTCGAATTGACGCCGACTCAGTGGAAATGACCTGGAGGCCAAGTCTCAGCAACGTGGAAAAGGTCCTGGTGACGGACGTCACCACCAACTTCCTGACGGTCACCATCAAGGAGAGCAGCACCTCCAAGGGCTTCTTCAGAGACAAGAGATGACTTTTTTAATGCTCTGCTTTGCTCCGATGTTCCTGCAACATTGTGTTTAATAAATAAATCCGTTTTCCTATATAATATATAACATGTTGTTCATATGTGTATTTTATTAAGTTTGGCATCTGTTTAATGTATTGACCACGCTTTTCTCATCCTCCGGCAGGTGGAGTGTCTTTCTGCATATTCTCTGTTTTTTGCAACTAAAACGAACTAGAAAAGTTCTTTTTTTTTTTTTTTGTCCCTAGATCTCTCCTGAGCACAGGCTCGTTCTGGTTGTTCAGCATGGCTAATATTTAAAACTGAAGCACTTTGAATTCACAAGTATTATGAGATTTGGACCGGTTTGAGTCGTCTAACATTTCAAAAACAAAAAAATTCAACCGTTTCCCCCCATTATATTTGTTTCTGTTATATTCTCTGTGGTCCGTAAGATTGACCCCATACTCGATATGGAATCTTAACGTCTCACGGTCCTTAATTAGATGTAAATGGACTTCATTACATTTTCATAGAAATGTTCATAAAGATTTGATTTTTAAAAAAGTTGTTAAAAGGCTTTTTAGACACTTTTCAATAAATCTGACTTGCCAACTTTATATTTGGCTCTCTGTTATTATGATCCTCCTGATATCTGAGCTATTTCAATTTTAGATTTTGATCATTTAAAGTCTTCCAAATAATTTTATGACTGTGCAAAATAGTTAAAATCTTGTTAATAATCCTGCAGATTAGCATTGTTTTGTTCTAAAAAATGAAAATTGTGTTTTTCGGAATGCAGACATTGATTCTGATTTTAAGATTTCAGTCATGTTTTGTAAAAGATGCAGTTTTAAAAATCAGCTCTCTGGGGAAAAATCATTTAAAAGTGTTTTTTGTATTAATGTAATCCAGTATTAAGATTTTTTTCTTTTATTTATTCTGACATTTTGCTTAATGGGCTCTGAACGTTTGAAAGATTTAAATCGGGTCAAGATTTTTATGCATCCTGGTGCGCTTTTACCGCTCCAAACTGCGCAATTGACTTACCCGTTTTTTCTTTCTTTTTTTTTTATACAATAAATAAAACGCACGCGGACACAAACCAGACGAGTCTCCTGAGCTTTAAAATCAACATATTTTGTATTTCGTAGGAAACGACGTTTATGTTTATTTTTATCCAAAACAACTAAAATAAATCTAATTCTTTTGAAGTGATTATTTTGGACACAAATCCGGTGCAAATATTATATTTTCCTTGTGGTAGTTTTTTTAAATAATCTATATAGCCTACTGAATTTCAGAATAATAAAAAAACGGATAACAATAAAAATGACAACACCGAAATATTATTTATGATTTATTGTGGTTACAGATGATGAGATATATGTAAAACAGGCTAAAACAAAAAAAAACACGAAGCTACCAGTTTTTATTTGATTATTAAACAATATTTATTAAATCTTCAGGAAAAAACAGAAGTTCTCTGATGTCTCACTTTAGTCCGTTTTCAGCCACTTCCGGTCATTTTCTGTTCAAAGAGACAAACAATAAAATAATAAATGTTATTTTAATTAATGTGTACACGATGTTTTTATTAAATAAAACATTGAGGCGTGCTCAAAAACACATTTATTTAGCATTTTATCAGCTTGAATCCGTTTGCTGTTCATTTGATCTTTTGTTTAATTTTAATTCAGCAGCAGATTTTAGCCACAGAAGAGTCGAACTATATAGTAAAAAATCAAAGAAACAAACATTTGGTAAATATGACGGATTCGGGCCTTTTGGTAATAAAAAAGGCAGAATTATTTTATCACGTGAGCTGGTATGACCGGAAGTCATTCTGAAGATGAAGTTGTGTCTCGTCACCTTGGTTCTCCTCAGATCGGGTGTCCGTAGTTCCGGTCGCAACGTGGAGGGCAGTGCGGGTTCATCCAGTTCTCCAGGTTGGTCTCCTGGGCCCTCTGGTCCAGAGCCTGCATGTGGAGCAGGTGCTCCTGAGGAGGAACCAGAACATCATCAGCATCAGAACCTAACCGTAACCTGGTGATGGAGCGGGGGGTGACAGTCTGCTACCGGCTGACTGAGATCAAAACACGGAGACAGTTTTGTTAAATCAACTCAGATGGAAAATCTCCACAAATGAATCTCAATAGAATAACTTTCAAGATGACGTCAGATGCGGTACGTCATACATTTCGGACGGTAAAGTAAAATTCTCAGAATAATTTTTTTTTGTCATTCTAAAATAAAATCAGAGTGTTACAGCGCCACTCAGAGGATACTAGAGGAAATGGCACACTGTAAAAATACACCAAGCCACATGATAAATATAAGGTAAAATGTCTTTTTAAGTTTACTTTCTACATGAAGCGTGACTAGAAAAAAATACAAAATCATAATAAAATGTTTTCAGTGTTGTTTTCCAGCTTCATGGAAGCAGAAACTTTCATCTGGTCAGAAAAAAGACCCAGAATCTAATCTTTTTCACTTAGAAAACCTTAATCATCGTTAAATCAGATAAAGCCAGGCTGGTTCGTGCAACGCTAGATTTAATTATAATATATAATATAATTTTTATTTAGATGCTTTTAACGTTTGAACGTTTTTATCTTGTCATTCTGGTGCCCTGGAAACTCAGAGTTTCAAAATAAAAGAAACCATGTTTGAAGTCAAACATGTTTTGTACTTTAATGTACCTTGAATGACAGAAACTATTTACTTGGAGCAACAAACGCACGATTAAACTAAACCTTGGTTAATAAATAAACTTTGTCTCAAATCACAACAAGTTGTCTCAGGGCATACAAAGTAAAGCGTTCCAGCTGAGTTCAGTTTACTGTGCAAATTAGTTCAAAGTCTCCAAAGGGACACGGCAGATTGCATCGAGTCACTGACTTGTGTCAGAGACTTTATAGCAAAGAAATAAGAAAAACGCAAACAAACCCCAGTTGGAGCAGTTGTAAATCAAAACTATTTGAATTAAGCAAAATGTCAACATGTTTATTATTATTATTGTTGCTGTGGTGGTTGTATTAAGAATCCCTGTACTATTTTTATTTTTTTGTTTGTGAGTTTGTTGTTCTTTTCTTTTCTCTCATTTCTTTGGTCAAAGAAGCTCTGGCAGCTGGCTGACCAGAACCTCAGAAGTGTGAATGAGTTGCATGTTCTCCTCCAGTTCCCCAGCCTGGACCTCACCCTCATGGGCTCATCGGGGTGTCCGGCCTTCAGCGGCCTCTCCTGCCTCTTGCTGCGGAGAAGCTGCTTAGCAAAGCTCTCCTTGATGAGCGGGTTTGCATCTGATGAGGAAACAAACAGCTGTTAAAGAGAAAGTTCTGATCCAGTTCTCCTTCCTCCCAACAGGGTCCGTGTGTTGCTTTTCTGCAGCTCAGAGTTCAACATCCTGCCTGTTTTTGTTTGTCTTTCGATGAACGCAGCAGCTGTTACAGCTGTGCCGCCCCCCTCTTCCATAAATAACCCTCTCACCAATCCCTGCTGCTGGTGAGAAGTGTCTGACCCGTTCTGTTTACCCCCCCAGCCCCACAGGAGCTGCTTTCACTGGATTCTGTCCCTCTCCTTCCAAACAGGCCCGTGTTAGGAGGCCGGGTGGGTAACAAAGTGCCTCATTCATCCTCCTGGAGGGACGTCTGAGCAGCAAGTGACTCCTGCAGGAGGCCGGAGAGCTGAAAAGAAACCCGGTTCTGTCAACAAGAGTCCAGAAGTGCTGGTGCTGCAGATGTTTCTGCTGCAGGGGCCTCACATGCAGCAACGTGGCCACAGAGATAAGCTTAAATCAAACTGATAAAATCAGCTATTCTGGGGATTCAGGTGCTTTTATCCTGCTAAACACCAATAAATACAACATTATTTGTTTATTCCCACCTGCAAAAATAAATCTGCTAAATAGTTTAAAATCATTGTGAAACTCAAAACCCACATTCTCTAAAGCAATAAAAAAGGTGTGAAATGCATCCACTTAACAGTGAGGTTGTCGGTTAGATTCCCGAAATGCTCCTACCTGTATAAACGGTCATCAGGACCAGAAAAAGCAGGAACACCAGCAGCTTCTTCATCTTCATCACCTTCTTCTGCACAATCTTTACTGCTCTGAGCTCCAGAGTCCAGAAGGGGTGAAGGGGAGATTTCTCCTCCTCCTCCTCTTTACCCTCAAACTGTAACAGAATGTACTGTGCAAAAGTCCTGAGCCACCCCTGACTCGTGTTTTTCTTACGTATAAAAATCTGAAGGTTTTACAGTATTTTTAAAAAAGGTTTTCTTGATTTTATTTTTGTCTTTATCTGTTTTTGGTGCTTATTTCAGCTCTGGTTTCTGCTCCATTTAAACATTTGCAGAACTAAAAAAATGAACCATTAAACTTTAAAGTAATGTTTAAAAAAATGAAGAAATTATAAAGAAAATTTATGGCAAGCAGTCAACTGCACACATGTTGAATGTTTTTATTTTGTTGTGGTTGACTCCACAGTTAGCAAACAAACTGTTTGCTCAAATTTAACACATAAAAAGGGTTTCAGCACCAACAAGGTGCTCCCCAAATAACTTTTAGCTGAAAACATGATCAACAGATAAAGGATGATGTATCTCTCATGTTTATTAGACTTTTAAAATAAAGGTATGTGCATATTTTGACTTGGTCCATTACGCTCTTATTATGAAGGAAATTTATGCATATCAGGCACAGGGGTGCACCGATCTATCGGCACCAATTTCAGGTTATTTTCAAGATCAGTGATTGGCCAAAAACTGCAGTTATTGTTAAAGCAAACCATTGTAATTTTTTTGTGACAAGTGTGTCAAAACAGGTACCAAGGTTTTGTTTTAGAAATTAGAAAAATTAAATTCTAAAAGAACAAATATGAGTTTGTAGCAATGCTAAATACGTGCATTTATATTTGAGAACATTACCTCAGGTCCAGTTGAAACTGGCATTGTTTCATAAGTATTCATACTGGTTTTCTCAATAAAAAAAATTTAGATTGCTTCTAACTTTCAATTTATTTTTAATTTATTTTTACTATATTTTGTGTTGTTTTTACATGTGTTTTAATTGTGTACTATTTTTTCTGTGAATTTGTGTGAAACTTTCCACTGCCCATGCTCACCAGGTCTCCCTTGAGCAAGAGGTTTTTAATCTCAATAGGATTTTCTTCCCTGGCTAAATAAATAAATGAGTTGGGAAGACTGTCCACTAGATGACGCTGCAAACTCTGTCAAGTTGCTTCACGACACAAACTGAATAGAAATCACAACACTGAATGAGTTTCATTTAGGTCCATTTATCTACCAGTAAACCAGGAATTTGGGGGAATTTTACAATATTGCTTTAATAAAAGCTGTTATTATTATTATTATTATTATCGTTATTGAAAATATCATCATTGTCCCAGAGAATACGTAATTGTTTCCATGTCGGGCTCTCGCTGTTTCTTCTCAAGATTCTTTATTTCCTCTTTGTTTTGGGAAAATATTGATACCATTATTCCTAATTGATAATTGAAGTGGTCACAGCAGACAGAGCTTGTTCCCTCACTATTATAATCTAGGCACATTTTGACGAGGAGCAGTGCGCATGCGTGTGCAGACCTGTAAATCCCCAAACCTTGCAAAAGGATCTGGACCGCCTTGCTTCCGTTCGCTCACAAAAGAAAGTATTCCCACTGTGGCTGAATATTACTTACATAATGATACATTATTTATTTTTCAGACACAAAACACGTGAGCTGAAGAAAAACTTGGATTTTAACATCTCTTTTTGTATATTTCTTTATGTGCCAATTTTTTTTTTTACTAAATAACAGTTAAAGAACATTCTTCAGAAAACTACAACGAACCGATTTTTTTTATTCTTTCAACTGATGCATCTTACAGGTTTATAATAATTTCAGTATAAACACACAAATGTAAATTGGAACATAACAATGGAGTAAGACGTTTACAACGAACCGATTTTAGCAGCTGCCGAGGAGAGGTTACTTCCTGTTTGCCCTTTCTTATCCCGGAAGTGCCAATGCGCCGCATGTTTGGGTGTACTATCTTTGTGTACATTTACTCTCTGGAGATGTTACGTTAGCGCGTTAGCTCCTACTTTGAATGTGACGTTGTTTTCTTCTTTGTTGCCAGTTTTATGCGTAATTAATACCCTGCTAGCATCTCGTTGTTTGTAATGAACATGAACGTCGTGCGTCATCTTCAGCCTGTTTTGTTTACATCGCGCCTCTCTTTGTTCATTTCCGCTCATTGACAACGTTGCTAACTGTCCAGCCGCGATGTGCAAAGACGGGGACGAGGCGCAGGAGGACTGCGGCTCCCGGGAGGAGTGGACGCTGCTGTTCTGGACCTCTCTGGCCGTTATCGTCCCGGTCATCCTCACACTGTGGTGCAGCGCGCAGCGCTCCAAGCGGAAGACCTACATGAAGGACTTCTTTCGGAAGAGCAAGCACGGCTGGCATTACACCGACCTGTTCAACAAGCCCACCTACTGCTGCGTCTGCTCCCAGCACATCCTGCATGGGGCTTTCTGCGACTGCTGCGGGGTCTGCGCGGACGAGCAGTGCCTGCGGCGGGCCGACCGGAGCCTGCAGTGCAAGGAGATCATGGCCCCGTCCCGCCCGGATGGAGCCATGGAGCACCGGTGGGTGCGAGGAAATGTGCCTCTAGCCAGTTACTGTGCTGCGTGCAAGCAGCAGTGTGGGACCCAGCCGAAGCTCTGCGACTTCAGGTACCGTTAAATCAATCCCTGCTGATCAAATGCATTAATTAACTGATGGAATAGTGAGCGAGCATATCTAAGCACAAGTTTTTACAGTTATCCTCCAAATGAGAGGTCAAAGGTCCTTCTCTAACCATTTAGAGTACATAATTACACCCAGGGTCATCCTTGGGTTGTGTTATTCACAAGTGGAAAACATACCACAGCAACCAATCATCTCAGATCTCAGGTGAATCCCATCTGGAGGCCAGAGAACCACAAAACTTGTAGAGATTCTTACCCATAATGCACAGCAGCATATTAGAAGCAATGGCTCATACAGCTGTCAGCACGGTGGTGGAGGGAGGATGGTTTGGGATTGATCCAACAATGAACTCCTCTGTAGACCAAAGTTTTCCCATTAAGTTATTCAGGTTTATACTTTCACCTTGTACTGGAGCAGGGTGGCTGCAGGTGGTAAACAGTCCTGTGGTTGTTTGTTTAGCAGTGTTGTGTCCTGGTGCCCCTCAGGTGTGTGTGGTGTCAGGCCACGGTGCATGACGATTGCATGGACAGTCTGGCGGATGCAGATGTGTGTGATCTGGGTGAGTTCCACAGCCTCATCATCCCTCCTCACTACCTGCACTATGTGAACAAGCTGCGGCGCCTGCACCCTGACGAGTACACCAAGGTGAAGACTTCCCACAGCTTCCTCTTCAGGTGGCGTTTGACGCCCAAAAGCTAACAGGAAAACATTGTTTGTGTTTTTGTATTTTTGCAGCTGGGAGCCTCCTGCAGCAGCGGCTGGACCCCAGTGTTGGTGCTGGCTAACACGCGCAGCGGGAACAACATGGGAGAGGTTCTGCTAGGAGAATTCCGCACCCTCCTGAACCCTGTGCAGGTCACCATTCCCACCAAACGTCCCCCTCCTTCCAGTCCTCCTCCCTGTTTCTGATCAGAGCTGGAATTTCTTCTCCAGGTGTTTGACTTGTCAGAGCTGCCTCCTTCCAAAGCCCTCCAGCTGTGCACCCTCCTCCCCCCCGGCAGCGTCCGGGTGTTGGTGTGTGGGGGGGATGGCACCGTGGGCTGGGTTCTCGATGCCATAGATGAGATGAAGCTTAAGGTGAGAGCAGCCAGACTTTTTCCTCCCGAGTTTCTGAAGCTGGACTTTAGCTGCTCTTTTGTTTTTGAAGCAAATCTGTGATGTGTCTTCATCAGGGCCAGGATCCGTTTATCCCGAGAGTAACCATTCTGCCCCTGGGAACAGGAAACGACCTTTCAAACACTTTGGGCTGGGGAGCCGGGTATGCCGGAGAGATTCCCGTGGAACAAGTTCTTCGGAACATCCTGGATGCTGAGGTGGTCAAAATGGACAGGTGGGAGGAGAATCCAAACCCTAACCCTGGACAGAATAGGAGAAACTTCCAGATCAGCTGTTGTAGAAATAGGAGAAAGTTAGGAGATGCTGGAACATTCTGCTGTTTTTGTTGTTGGATCGGGGTTTTCAGCCTGTGTTGGTTTTCAGGTGGAAGGTGCAGGTAGCTTCAAAAGGATCCTACTTCCGTAAACCAAAGGTGAGTCGGAGCTCTGTGTCCTTTGATCCACAGCATGTTTGATCCTAGTGTTGTGACCCGGAGCTGAACTGAACCCTCCTCAGGTTCTGTCCATGAACAACTACTTCTCTGTGGGACCCGACGCTCTGATGGCGCTGAACTTCCACGCGCACCGCGAGAAAACGCCTTCCTTCTTCTCCAGCCGCATCATAAACAAGGCCTGAATTCTTTATTTGAATAAACAAATCCCACCTAAACTGGGCTTTCTGTGTAATTCCTGAAGGTTAGACTGAATCTGTGGCCTGTACTCTCTCTGCAGGCTGTGTACTTCCTGTATGGAACCAAAGACTGTTTGGTGCAGGAGTGTAAAGACCTGGATAAGAGGATTGAGGTGCGGGTCTCTTCTCTCACTGTGTCACCATCAGGAGAGGAAACGTGTGAACGAGTGAAGTTCGGCTGAACCAGGAAGCTTTAATCGTCTTTAAACCATCATGCAAACCTGAATAGTTTAAACAGTAAAATCAGGCAGTGTGTGTGTGTGTTTCTCTGCATCTTTATGTGTGTGTGTGTGTGTGCCTGTGTGTTTTATATGCATGTGTTTATATGTGTCTGCTTGTGTGTGTGTGTGTGCATGTGCTTATTTGTATGTGTGTGCCTGTGTATGTTTTTTGTGCATGTGTGTGTGTTGGTTTCTGCTGATTTTGTTTGTGCATGCATGTTTGTGTGTGTGCATGTGTGTGTCCCACAGCTGGAGCTGGATGGGGAGAGGGTGGCGTTGCCCAGTCTGGAGGGCATCATTGTCTGTAACATCGGCTACTGGGGAGGAGGCTGCCGCCTCTGGGACGGTATGGGAGATGAACCCTGCCCCCCCACTCGGTGAGACACCACCCCTCCACACACACACACACACACAGCTGTTCGTTCCGAGGTTTTAAAACTTGTCATTTTTAAATTTTCTTTCGGGTTTGTTTCCTGTCTTGTTCTGCAGGCTGGATGACGGGCTGCTGGAGGTGATGGGGGTGTTCGGCTCCTTTCACTGTGCTCAGATCCAGGTCAAACTGGCCAACCCCGTACGTCTAGGACAGGCACACACAGTCAGGGTGAGACAGCAACACACACACACACACACACGGTCAGTCCTGCCACAGAGCTTCCTGTTTACCTCATTAGAGCCATTAGCAGAGACGATGATGGGGAATCAGATTATTTTTCACTGCCCTTCTCCACCTTGCAGCTCTCTGATCTAATTTAAAACACGCTGTTCATCCCGTCTCCACCCAGTGCAGACCACTGCCACAGGTCCTCATCAAACTGCCTTTGGCTTCAAAAGTTCTTGTCACAGAAACCGTGTAAAACCTGTTCTTTTAGAAATATGCTTCGTCACCAAGCTGCACATGCACCCCCATCACCTGCACTAGAGGCAGAAAGGAAAGAGACGGGAAAATGACCAGCAGAAGCCAGTCCTTCATACGTCACTGAGAAAATTCATGCTAATGGCCACGCCCACCTTTACCTACTTTAGCAGTGAAAACATGAAGCAGATCGTTAACACTAGCGATGGGATTTATGGCTCTTTCATGGGAGCCGTTCAAAAGACTGGCTTCTTAGAACAAAGTGAAGCCAACAGAGCGTGGGGGGAGGGGGGCAACGTCTTCCTGCAGTGTCCGTGAAGGCGCACGGGGTTGGTTAGCGTTCCTCCCGAGATACGTATATAAACACGTGTTTCTATGGTTCCTCCTACGTCCGTCACAGCGGTGGGTGGGGTTTGAGCGACTTCCGGGAGGTTTGTTAAGATGAACGGCTCTCTACAGGGACTCGGCTCTCATCATTCACTTTGAAAACCCGTTCAAAAGATTTGATTCGTTCGTGAACGTCACATCACTAGTTAACACTCACTCTCAGGTGGCACTTCTCTGTCTCCAGCTGGTTCTGAAGAGCTCCAAGATGCCCATGCAGGTGGACGGGGAGCCGTGGGCCCAAGGACCCTGCACCATCACCATCACCCATAAGACGCAGGTCCTCATGCTGTACCACAGCGCGGAGCAGACGGACGACGACGAAGATGAATCCAGCGCCTCAGAGACAGAGAGCCCCACACATGACTCTCCCAGACCTCTGGGTTCAACGTCCGCTCGAGCATGATGCTCTTCAACCATCATGTCCTAACGCTACTCTCGTTATCCTTTCTTCACCCCGACAATCACTTCATCGTCTGCTTTAGCTGCTCTTCTCTTTGCACACACGGTCCAGTCAGATTTTCTGTGCAATAGGCTCGGATCTTTCAGAGATCTCCCAGATTAATTTTTATTGCCTGTTTAAGCCCGAGCTCCTGGGCCGGTCAGGAGGAGGTAGAGAGGCTGCTGTTCATTTGCACTGATCCCTCGTGCCATTTAGAGACTGTAGCTAGCTGTGCTGTGTTTATTATGGCGTATAAGACTCACTAGTATTAGTGAGAAAGTTTACACGTTTCATCCGTCCCCCTCGCCAAAAGCCGTGTTTGAATCGACAGCAGGCGATAACAGAAACGATGATTTCCCTGTTTTATAACCAGAAAAGGCACAAATATCAGAAAGCGACGCGGTTAAGTTAAGATTCTCCTGCCTGTGTTCTCTAGAACTCGTTCTGTAACGATTAAACGCGCGTGATCAGAGCGACAGCTCACCGCTGGTCTCTGATGTTTGTTTACATCTTAGTACACTGGAGGAGGAGCTGTCCTGAGGAACTGGCACAGCTGATCTGAAATCTGCTGCAGGACTCGGGAAGCAGCTCGACTTATCAAGCTTTATTTTGAAAGCACTGCCAAGTTTGTTCATTTTTTTCTTTATTTAATGTCTCGTCTTTTCCGACCTTCGGCTTGTTCCTGCTGCCCAGGATGTAGCTCATATACATAAACGAGGAAGCGATGCCTGCTCATCTATTTTATCTGTTTCACCACCAGGTGGCAGACTGAACACAGTATTCAGATGCCAGGCTGTCTCTTCCTAACCACTATAGCCCTGTGTTGCATGTTTGAACCCGCCATGTTCAGGTGACCCGTTGCTGTCACTGAATCGTGTCTGTCGGGCGTTCGCCCAGAGCCATATCAGGAAGTCTGCAGAATGTCGGATTAAAGTGGAACAGGATCTGTTTTTAGCCATGTGATGCCTACGCTTTTAAATGTTTTGAAGATGTTGAATGTCCCGATGCCTGAGGACGCCTGCTTTACCTCGTGCAGGAATAGTGTCCAATGTGGAGTTGTTCTGTTCAGCAGACGGCGGGCAGAGTTATCTCAGTTTGGAGAACCAGGGAGAAATGCACTAGAGCAAACAGCTGGTGTGAATAATGAAGATGTGTTCTATACCAGGCCTGTGTGTGCCTCAAAAACAGGAAACAAGCCGTGCATGGTGGGCAAAAGCAAAAAGAGGGTGCCGGTGTTATTGTCTGTACAGAATGGGGTCTATTGGCTCATTGGTTAGCTTGGCCTGGGTTGTGTTTACACAGGAGCGTGGATGTGGGCAAAGAGACGAGCGTGATTTGCTAAAAAGGTGTGGAGAAGTCCGTGTTGTCCTTCCTAAGCACCACAAGTTGGTAAACAAAAGCGGGCGTGAGCAGCGTTGCTTTTAAAGACTCTGATATGAAGCACACAGCTTCCCACTCTCACTAAGCAGCGGTGCTGCCGTGGGCTCGTGTCAGATGGTCAGTCCTTATGTTGCTGCTCTGGTCTGAGCTGCAGTCAGAGAAGATGTTTACCATCACATTCAGATTGCTAATCAATCGGGTATACAGGAAGCTGCTGCTGGCTGGTTCTACCAAGGCCATTCAGAGGTAAGTAGGTAGGCGCGAGAGTGACGTAACTTCAGCAAACTTCAAAAAGCCAGTCAGCTCAGCACGGACCACGCCAATGGAAATGCAATGACCCAACCTGGCCCAGACCGAGTGTAAAAGACTATAGTCACAAGAGGGACTATATTTTATTTGTTGAGCTACAAATTTGACTTGGCCCCTAAAATTGGGATAAAAAATTTTCATTTTTATTTTTCCCTAATTTCTGTCATTGTATCTGTTGCAGATGTCAGCAACAACAGTGTGATCTTAGAAAATTTTCAATTTTTTAAAAGTTATTAGTAAAAACAAAAGCTGTAACTAAGACAAATGTTCAGAAGTGTGCAGAAATATTTCAGTTTTTCCACACTTTCGTAGAAAGGGAGCCAAATAAGATGTCCATGATTATTTTTGCTGTCATAACTTCATGAATGTTGCAACAACATTTTTGTAATTTAGGCAAAATACTTTAAATGTCTGGTTCATTGACAAAACATTTTTTTTTACTTATTTCTGCTTATAATCAGTCACTAGGTTTTTCATAGAGACTAAACAAGAAAAGAGTCTCCTAAACCAATCCCCTGCAATAGTTTCTGACAGAAATTTGATGGTGAGACTCTAGGATTTGAAAATCCTGACAGATCTACATCAGACTCTCAACATTCATGGGCTCACCCATCTGGACTCACAACAGGGAAGGCTGTTGATTTAACGTCCAGGAAACATGACCATTAACACTAGCAACTCCACCACATGGCAAAACTCCTCCAGGCTTGTGTTATTTGTGGAGATAAAACATCCATGTTGCGAAGCAAACTGAGTCAGTGGTAGAATCGCATTGCTGTTAGCCAATTAGAAGCTAGATGTCCAGATATCAGGAAGTAAGACTCCAAATCCTGTCGTCCTGCATGTATTAAACCGAGAGTATAATACCAGTATATTGTAAAAAAATAAACATTTTCTGCAGGATTTGGAGAAAAAAACTTATGTCAGAATTTTTTTGTAATAATAGGAAGTGAGCTAATGAACTAATATTTAATAAAAGGAACTCAAAAGCCATTTTTAGGTAAACTATATTTCTAAAAAATACTTTTATTCTTAATTTGCTGTGAGAATTTCATGTACTCGATAAAATTTGGTTTTAAGTTTCAACAAATGTCGGGCCACTTCAAAGCAGCTGAAGGGCCACATGTGACCCTGGAGCTGTAGGTTGAAGACACCTGGGCTGACATCATTAGATAAATGTAGCATCTGATTTGGTTGACTTTAGCTTAATTTCTCCCTGATTCTCCAAACTGATCCCATCTGCTGAAGGTAAGATGCTGACAACCTAAAATCCCTGAACTATCCCTTTAATGTGTTTCCAGGAGCTGTGTCTGTGTTGCACTGAGTAAAAATGTTTATATATAGTTATTCCAAGTTCTTCTTTTTTTACTGTTCAGACAGAATCAGCTGATACATTTACTGATTTTCACATTATTTGGGATTTTAGCAGATACATGGATTTTCACTGTGTTGTGTTCACACCAAAATTTAGAGTAATTATTTACATGTTTTTAGTTTCATGGTCAAACTTTGGAATGCAACGATACGTTTTTCCAAACCGATATGATACCGATACTTGGATCTGAGTACTCACCGATACCGATTACTGTTACTTCTACCAAACAAAAAAAATGCAATGAATTGGAATACAGGTTTTATTTTCTTCTCTGCTTTCAACAGGAAAAGATTGAGGTAGCTGCATAAAATATATTAATAGAAATGATCACAAAACTAAAATATTAAGGGAACAGAAGTGTCAAGTTGCAGTGAAGCCATTTTCAGACAACTGCATTGGTATCGGTTAACCTTTACCGATACCAATATCGGTATCGATGCATCCCTAGTTACTGTGCTGTTACCACTGGGAGGTTCTAATGTTTGTCCCTTTGAATGAAAAAAAAATCAAGGAAAATGTTTAGGAGAAAATCTTTTATTGGGAACAATCATTTAAACGAGAAGATGAAACCTGATTTTGATTGAAATTAATGTACGTGTTTGAAATATTAAGACATTCCCATAAATATTTTCATATATAATCAAATCGTTTTTTTCCCTGACTGAATTATGAAGCAAAGTTAGAATATTTTATTCTCCTATATTTTAGACATTAAACTTCTAGATTCCCCGTTGTGAAAGTGGAATTGGAAAACACTTCATTTGAGTGAAAGACCACGACAAAATAATCAAAACTTACCACAAAAAAAGATGAGTCTTGTAATCTCCAGGTTAACAAATTTTCTACTTGATGGAAACAAAAAGTTACGTCTGATCTTGTTTTATATACCCAAAACAGCCATTATCCACGTTACTGACACAAATCTGAGTTACATCAACGTCTGCAGAAGCCAGCAGCAAACTAGTTACAGACACTACTTGCTTTTCTTTGGGTGTGGATTATTTTTAGGATGGGGTTTGTGCCCAGCAGACTTCTCCGAAGGCGGATGGGTTCTGGGTTTATCTTTTCCATCAGGCTTGTGTCCTTGAGAACTTGGAGGCCTTTTGCCTTGTTCTGAAAGAAAACATGTAATTATTTTAAAGGGATGTGAACCTTACAAGTCACAATTCAATTAATTATTGCAGAGTGATGATTTGATTCGGAATCGATTCACAATTAATACCCTTAGTTACAAAACCAACTAGTGTAGACTTGAACGTGTGTGTGGTTATGTAAATGAGCTTTAGAGCTTACATGACAAGTTTTCTGACTAATTTTATATTTTGTTTTACTGTTTTACTCTTAAAAGTAGCAGCTAGATGTCTGCATTTTTCTTGGCCTGTTTATAGATTTATAGATTACTTCAGACCCAGGGCGATCCATATTTAAGACAGCAACACGAGATAAATACACAACAAATAACACACAACCGTTCCTATATTCATGTCCAAACACACATACATGCATATCACCTACAAGTTCAATGTTTGTTTTGTTGCACTGTGTTTTTGCATTCAGCAGCTAAATAAGCACAGTTTGTGCTGGAGCAGGGAAACAACTAAAACATGATGGATATGGAATATCGAAGACGAGGGATAAAGAGTAGGTGTAAAAAAAAAAAAAAGGATTCACTGTCTTTCTTTCAATAGCTGGTGGTGGGCCGGGCTGGGCTCAAAATGCCCACACTGATTTTTTTTTGTCCCAGGTCCAGCCCTGACAAGAGTCCTTAATGCATGGTGCCGTCGGCATGAAGCAACACACACACACACAGGATAATCCAGAAGGTAAATCTCTGTTGTGTTTCAGCAGATTGCAACATAGGAGCACACAGGCAGAGCGCCCCAGAGCAGCTGTCGCTACATCGTAGCTCATCACTATCAGTGTGTGAATGTGTGTGAATGGATGGATGATACACTGTAGTGTAAAGCGCATTGGAGTCCTTACTCAGAGGTGCTACACAAGTGTGGGTCATTTATCGCTTATCATTGACATGATCCGTTCAGGAACACTTGGAAATACAGCAGTTCACATAAAGGCTATGATGGAATCACTATTGGGACAGGAATCGATTTTTCCAGCACGTTTAATATTTTTCCTTGTTTGGAGAATGGAAATCGCTGCAGCTAAACTGTCGATGCATAGCGCCTAAAAATGAAAATACCAATAAGCTTCAGAAATCCCCCATCGATAAGCCCTCGGAGGTGATCAGGTGGAGATTTGGGTGTTTGATTGCACTGGCAGAGCTGTGTGAACTTTGCTTTCAGTGCTGCTGAAAACAGATAAACGTGTAAAACAGCTGCAAGGCAAACAAACCCAGCCTTCATCTCTGAAGAATATAAAAATGAAGTTTATTCAGAAACTCACGGGATTAAATCTTGCAAAGATCTTTACAGGGAGAAGTTGTGCAGCATGTTTCACATCACAGGGTTGTTTTCTGGGTCCTAAAATGAATTTCCATCATAATTTACCTTCATAAATGTTTCTATTGTAAGACTTCACTAAAGTGAAAATATAAATATTAACATTGTAAATGCATCTATCAGCACAAACAGCCTGGGCTGGGGGGCAGAAGGTTTGGTTTTTGAACTGCAGATGCACTTTGGACCCTAATGACATTGTTTTCCAGGAATAATGAAGATAAAACAAATTTCCACGATAACGTTTGATTTAAAAAGAGGTGGAAAGTAACAAATTCGTTTACTCTTGTTACTGTAATTGAGTAGCTTTTTTGTGTTTTTATACTTTTTAAGTCATTCTTAAAATCTGTACTTTTACTTTTACTTGAGTAGCCTAAGTTTTTTTAAAGAATTGTAATTTGCTACTTTTTAAATCATATCCTTTACTGAGTAAAAATAAATTGTAGGCTTAATAAATTAAAAATTTTGCATGTAGCAGCGTCAGAACAGAAAGAGACACCTGCATGAGTGCTGCGTCTGAACAGAGGGGGGCGTGTGCATGGACGTAATTTTTGGGGGGGGGGGGACGGGGGGACAGGTCCCCCCCCCCACACTTTTTCCCAAAGTCAAGTTTGGACCCCTGTACTTTTTACCACCCAAAAACAATATTACACTATATTAAATTGACACTGGTTGAGCTCTAGGACCAAGCAGAAAACAACCGTTTGTGTTGAAGCCTGTTTCCCATTAGAACGTACTGTAAAGACCCCCCCCCCCCCCCCGTGTCCCCCCCACTTCTAAAGTGAAAATTACGTCCATGGGCGTGTGTGTATACTTTTGATAATGAGGACAAACAACCATTTTTACCGCAGTTTTGCTCAAAAACACCAGTTCAGTTCCTGTGATCCACTCGCTGTTTACCTCCTCTCTCCCTCCTCTCCTGTGGGTTGGAACACGCACCTTTGCGCACCGGTGTGACGTCATCAGAATTCTGCTCGATTCGGTGGCCAGACTCGGTTCTGTGTTTGAAATGTGTTTCCCTACCGCTCCTCACGGAAGCGGCAAAATAACGTTTAGCGCTCATAACAAGCGGATTCTCAGCGCTCTGCTCATAAAACAGAAGACCTGCAGGCCTCTGTGAGCTGAAACATCCTGATACTGTTCAAGTGTATGGTAGGAGTTTACTATCGAGCTAAGACCCATAAACATACGTCAGTCAAAAGTTAGAGCGTTTCAGCTAACACTGTGTACCTGTCTAAATGACCGTGTAGGAAACATTGAACCAAATTGTCAGTTCCTACCACTACAGTAAGCAATAGAAAGGGAGAACATTGTCATTTAAACATTGTGCTCCGTCCCTGTGTTTAAACTCAGAAGATGCTTCTTGAGGCCACAGATATGTGATGATTTAGCTTGTTTTATTTTACTCCTGAATAAGAGATTAAATTATTACAATAGCAGTTCAGTGTAGTTAAATTAGTCATGATGTGTGTGTGTGTGTGTGTGTTTTACACCTATAGGACTGCATGAGACAGCGTGGTTTCATCAAATCCGTGCATCTTATTTCTTGGTTGAAGTAATGGGGAACAAAAATAACTTCTAGTTTATAAATGACATCTCCTAGAAATCCTAGAAAAACGTCGTCCAATAAATGTGCACATCCTGTTCTCGCTGACTGGATAGAAATCCTTCCGTCAAACTGTGTGTGTGTGTGTGTGTGCGTGTGTGTGTGTGTGTGTGTGTGTGTGTGTGTGTGTGCATGCGCACGAGCGAATTGTGAACTGGCGTTGTGATTTTGCACTACTTAGATATAGCCATCCTTACGCTGACAAAAATGTAACTAAGTAACTTTTACTTTGAGTACATTTTATTTACGATACTTTTAACTTTTACTTGAGTAAAAATGTTGGCAAGTACTTTTACTTGTACTTTAGTAAAAAATTATTAAAGTATTGGTACTCGTACTTAAGTAGGAAATTTTAGTACTCTTTCCACCTCTGGACTTAAACTACCGATAAACTCGAGGTTAATCTCACAAAGTCAACAGAAACAAAGTTTGAGCAGCTGACTTACTGTTAGGAGGCTGATGACCACCACCACTCTTCTCGTCTAAGAGATGAAAACAAAAACACATTGGAAAACATGTTTTAATATTTTTTTACTTCCTCTGTGACCCATTTCTCTTAGACTGTGTATTAGACGTGCCCAGCAAACATCACCAGGGAGGCGTCCATCCTAACCAGATGCCCGAGCCACCTCAACTGGCTCCTCTCAATGTGAAGGAGCAACAGGTCTGCTCCAAGCCCCTCCCAGATGGCCAAACTTCTCACCCTATCTCTAAGGAGAGCCCAGACACCCTGTGGAGAAAACCCCCTGCTGTCACCCTTTCCTTATTTGCTTTCTCAGCCACCCTCTCCCTTGGATGGTTGTGCTGCTGATTTTGTTTCAACAGGATGCTGGTCCAAGGGCGATAAAGCCTACTTACTCATTCACTGGTGTTGCCCACTTGAGCATTGAAGTCCATCAGGAGAACATGGGAGTCACTGGAAGGAGCACTCTCTAACACCCCCTCCACTGACTCTCCAAAAGAGTTGGTAGTCTGATCTGCAGTTTGGTGCAAAGGCACAACGTACACACATTCTCAGTGAGGGCAACTCCAGTGTGGTAGTGTCAAGGAAACTGGTGCCAGAGCTAGAGCCGTGTGATGAGGTGAGGTTGAATATATCTTGTCGGAACCTCAACCTCACACACCAAATAAGGCTCTTTCCCACCATAGATGTGACATTCCACGTACCAAGAGCCAGCTTCAGTAGCAGAGAATCAGACCGCCAATATCCCCAACTTCACCTACCAACCATCTCACATGGCACTTGACCCCTTTGGCCCCTCCCACAAGTGGTGAGCCTGTGGGAAGGCAGACCCTTGTTTCTTCTTTGGGCTTAGCCTGTAGCCCTGTCGCATCCTATAGAGCTCCGGACCCCACGTGACTCTCAGTTAGTAGACGCCATATTGGCAGGAAAAAAAGGTAAACAAACACGGATCGTAAACATGAACGGGATCGGCTTGGATTTTACTTTGGAGTTTACTTCACACTTTAAAACCGAAGAAATCGTTTTATATAGTCAGAAATTAAATAGACTAAACATCTCCGACCCTTACTGTGCCACGCCAGAAGCTGTCGGAGCGGACTTCTTACCGGACCTGGCCGGGGAACCCCTTGGGATTCCCCCGGTGGAGCTGGCCCAAGTGGCTGGGGAGAGGGAAGTCTGGGCCTCTCGACTTAGGCTAGTGCCCCCATAACCCGACTCCGGATAAGCAGATGAAAATGAATGGATGGATGGATGGATGGACAAATAACAGATTTACATGTAAGTAGTTTAAATAGAGTGCTGTGATGTTTGAATGTATAAACTGAACGCCAAGAGAAATCAGTCTGATTTTTTTCCGTGAATAAAATAAATATGTCAGGCAGGAGTGTCTCAGGACAGATAATAGCAATCCAAAGTGCTTTTTATGTGCGATCTGACAATTGATCAACCATTGCTTAAAAATTAAATACAGCTTAGCCGGTTAATTGCTGTGATCATAAACACATAAACGGCAGCACACAGAACTCACGAGGCAACGTTTTACGTGATGTTTACTTGTTGCTATGAGTAATAAGACAGAAAAAGCCACGCCAAAATAAGTTTAGGAAGCCCACTAAGAATCGTAGTAAAAGCATTTAAAATAAATACCATACACAGTTGAGGAAACGTTGGTTTAAGTACCTGATATGAAGCGGTCGCTGCATAAGCAAAAACCTTTACTCTCGGGATCCCACAGCTTCATTTTAGCCCGGTCACTAGCGCGTTTTATTACAATGATCCAACGTTTGCGGCGCTCCGGATCTTGGGGAATCCTGTAGATGGCTCATCCCTTATGTCGTCCGCGTCTAATCTGCATCCTGGGGCACAACAGGAATCTACCACATTTCCCGTTTGATTAAGTTTTCTGACAATAACAAATAGTCCAGCTGCCGGCTTCTGCATGCCAATATGGCGCCATTTCGATTTGAACTGTTGCATGCCGGGAGAAGTGACGTCAACACCCAGAGCTCTATGGGGGGAAGCCCAGCCACCAGGTGCTCACCTAGGCCTGGCTGCAGAGGGGGGCCCTAGTCACCCGCATCGGGGTGAGGGAACACTGTTTCTATTTGTGGTAATCATCTTAAGGGATCTTTGGGCTGCACTTTGTCTGACCCCTCACCTAGCACCTGTTTGCCATGGTTGACCCTACCAGAGACGTAAAGCCTCAAACAACTTAGCTCCTAGGATCATTGGGAAACTCAAACCCCTCCACCACAGTAAGGTGGCAGCCCAGAGAGACTTGGCCTATTAAACCTAAAATGACTTTTTGTACCAGGCTGTAAACATGTTTATTTCTGCTGTGAAGTTGGCATTTTTAAACATGGGAGTCAATGAGAATGTGCTCCTTTCTGGATCCAGCCCCTAGTGGATGATGGTGGAACTGCTATTTTTGTCACTTCTGTGTTGGCTTCACTTTTGGCAGCCGGAGTTTGCCCCTTGCTTTCTCTCCATGAAAGGTCATCGAGTCAGCTGACCATGAATAAACCATCCGAAGAGACACAGAGCAGCTTCTTCTTCTCTAACATGCTAATTCAGCTCCGCTGTCATAAAGAACACATTCAGACTGTTTTCTAGTTCTCTTCATGTAGATGGACATTCCACTGCTGTACATATGTTCCATGACTCCACTATTTCCTTTAGATCTTTCTTTTGCTTATTATTTTATCTAAATTCAGTTATTTGTGTTTTTATCATTTTCCTCTGAGATGCATGCAAGTTATGTAAAATGTGTGCATTATTTTTTAATTAATTAATTAGTAATATTACATTATTTTGTATGCAACTCACTGGTTTTCTTTCCTGGGAAAAATCAAGGCCTGGGAAATTGCTGGTCCTGTTGAAATGGCTGTGAAGTTGTCTATGTTGGCTGCGGAGGAACGTTAACCGGAAAGGGAGCGGGTTGGTAGACAGGAGCGACGAGTGGATGACCAGGACTTTTGGATCTGGTCTGAGGATTCCCCTCAGCTGGCTTCAGTGGTGCTGAAACTGAGATATAAAGAGAATCATGAAACCTGTCTATGTTACCGTTCGTCGTTTAGTTTCTAGCTCTTTAGACTTTCTGAAAGAATTATAACTGTTTAAAGTAAACTTACTTAAATACTTCAAGATGATATTTTAAAACAAATACTTTGTATCATGCATTACAATATTTATCCCTGTACTTAAAATGTATTTACTTGTTTACATTCTTTAATTTTTTTGTTATTTGTTTTTGTTTTTTGTTTTTTTACACATTTTCAAGTTTTGTAAAAGTTTCTCATTTCAGCAATAAATCCAAGCTATAAAGTGATGAAATAATAAAAGTTCATGTTTTGTTGCCTTTCCACTCTGATCTTTTTCCAGAGTAATGTTGGTTGTTGTAAGTTTCTTATGTTAGGCCACATTACAGACACTGAAAATACAGGAAAAAATGAGGAAATATTGAGATTAAAATCAAAATGTTGGTGGAAAAATATTTTTATAAGCTTTCATAAGAAGTACACAAGTATTTTTGAAACTCTTGTAAAAGACTAAGGTCTTTGAGTCACCTTTCTTCCATTTTGCTTACAAATGGGAGACGCACGTAGACCGCGAATGTCCGGTAAAACTACCCGGACGTGGAAACAGGCCTATTGCAAATGTTTACTCAATAAAAAAACACCCAGAATATTTTACAATAATAAAACCAAAACATACTTTCAGCAATTTTTCTGTTTTGGATTTTTTTTCCATTACATTTGAACATCGACTTCAACACTTCCTGCTTGTCCGATTCCTTCTCAGTGGCACCGAGATGCTGTTGTACCTCTAACTCAATAACTCCGATAAGGGTTGTTGGGGTTATTAGGAGCGAACAATTAGTAAGCTTCAACTTACTTTTGGATTCTTCAATAAATTCTGTAAATATGGGAATATTTACTGATTTATTAATTAATTAAGATATTCTTAGATATACGGGGCACCATTCCCCTTTTTCCGGGGAAAAATTGAATCCAAAACTCTTATCAGTCTTTCTTGAAGTTCGTAGAATCCTTGGAGCAGAGACTTCTCTTCGACACAACAAAGCTACTGGAGACGAAAATCTGAATTTTATAACGTTTAATTAACAATTTGTCAAATGAATAAACAGTGGCATAAATGAATAATAACCATGTGATATAATAAAAGGATGTATATTCAAAATAATGTTCAAGGTGTTTTGTGTGTATGTAGGATGTAGGAATGGGGTCCTTTGTTCTCACAAAGGAGTAGTGTGTGTGCGTGTGTATGGATTCAAAATGGAGTCTTGAATACAAGATGGCTGACTCCTTTGTCTGGCTAAAGTGTGGGTGGCAACTTGCACTTTAACTTCCAAAGCACTTAGAATCAGTAGTAACTTAACCTTAAATCACTCAAAACATTTCAAAGGATCATGCAACAACACAAAAGATTAATCACGAGTTAATATCCTTAGTTTATCAGCCTGGCCATGGCCGAACATTTAAAGATACCAAACAATGATTAATAAGCAGTTTATTCTTTCAAAATGACCCGAAGGACGAATTTGGAACGAAAGAGGAAAACACGAAGCTACTTTTTTTAAGCAATAGCGCGGTTTTATTGCTTATTCTGGACTATAGAGGAAACGGGAGAAGAAAAGAATGAGAGAAAAATGAGTTTTCTGATCACCAAAAGAGCGAGGCGTCCCTCCCCCTTTTGATTTGACGGTTCTCCGTGTTTCTCCGCAGTTTTCAGCGTCATCCGCCGGTTTGATGCTTTCTCCGTTGTTTGGCTCCACGAGTGTTTCTCCACGGCTGGACACAAAGAAAACGAAGTTCCTTTTGGGCTGAGTTTGACAACTTACAGCGTTTCTGAGAGCTGGATGGAGTTGTTGTTTCCCTCCGCTGGTTCTGTGTCCTCAAACATCAGCTGGAGGGGAGCAGAAACGAGCAGATCAGCGGTCCCGTGGGCTCAACTTGGCTCTTAGAGCTTCCGCGTGCTCAAAGAAGTCGGAGCGTTCGACAAGCGTGTCCTCACCGCCAGGTATCCTGGGCGAAAGAACGAAGTTTCTTTGTCTCTGCTGAAGATTTATGGTCTTAGTTCGCAGGGAAAGCTCCACGGCTTCCCGCACATGCGCAGAACGTGTTTCTGGTACTAGGCGGTGACGTCATTACAATGCTTCCGTGTGCAAAGCATCATGGGAAATGAAGTTTCTTGGCGCTGATGTGATTATTTGCTTTTCAGAGCAATTTAAGCACAGTCATTTTGGAGAAAATCACTGCATAGTAATTTCCTCATGAGGTCAGACCCTCAACATTCCCCCTTTTGGTTTCGGGGATCGCGCCCAAAGCTCGATCGTCGGAAGCACAGATGGGTTTGTTCCTCATGAACGTAGGTCGACTTGATTGTCGGAAGCACAGGTGGGTTTGTCCCTTAGGACGTTGGTCTCCTTGGACGCCTTTGTCTTTGGTCTTTGTCTTGGATCCTGGCGCCTTTGGTCTTTGTCTTTGTCAGGCACAAAGAGGATAGGAAACGGGATAGTCCCCAACGCGCATAACGAGAAGAAGCCACTCACGCAGGTGGTACGCAATGATGATGTCGTCCATGCGAGAGGTAGTAGTGTAGAAGGAGGAAGGTCGGTGGGCGGTTAACTCCACGAGTGGACACAAAGGCATCTCACCGCCGGCCATACAGTTCAGTTTATGGAGCACGCGGTGATGTACGAGGTCCATAGTTCGCAAACGCGCATTGACCTATGTGGTCCCAAGATTCCCCCCTTTTTGGTCCAAAGGGTGGATCAGGACAGTCTTTGGGCTAAAACAAGGACCATAAAACTAAGAGGTACTACAATGTGCTGGTGCGTCAGACAGAGTCATTGACAGACTGAGCTGGGCCGGCACATAACCACTAGTTAATATGTGACCAAGTAAGAAACAAAAATACAGAAAACCCAAAAAAAAAAACATGTAACATATAACATCCAAGAAAATTCATAGCAACCTTGAGGTCTCATAAAATACATTCTTAGGTCATACATTCAGTGTGTAGCTTATAAAGAATGTGACATAATGCAACACTCAGATAAAAATGCGAGGTAGACTAAAGTGAGAACTACTCTTAGGGTTACAAAATAATAAAGAAAATGTTGCTCACCCCCTTTAGACAGGTGTGGTACATTCACGCTTGGAGTCTCCCCGAACGCGGTTACGAGGCACACCGTAGGTGAGCAAGTGCATCTTATCTTGGAGTTTATTAACACGCCTGTAGGCGGAATAAGCTATCACGGCCGTGATGAGCCATTCCATCCCCAGGGCGACCAATGTGCAGATTAAAGTCGTATAATCTGTGTCAATGTAGCGTCTTGGGCGTCAAAGTAAGTTCACGCGGGGTTTGTGTGAACTTAACAAATTTGGTTCCTTCAATCAGTAATTGTTGGTCAATTTCTAAATCGAAGGCAAAGTTATAACCCTGGAAAACGTCCATGATCTCAATCTCTGAGTCATGCTGTTCGAGGTTGAGATGATGGAGTGCCAGGTTTCTAGTTCAAAGTGGAAATGCCTACCGTCCTTTCAAATACCAATGTTCAGCATCGACTTAAACCTATAGATGTGAGTTGTCACAATTATGGGGACATGTAACAGGAAACCGAGTTCTAATTTTTTTCAACGTGAATGGGCATTGCACTACTTAGGCTGTACGCTAGGTGGATTTGTGAAAGGTGCACAGTAGAGGGGTAGCAGCTGTCAAGCTATCTTTGAGCAGGTCCAGTGGTACCAAGTACGGGGAAATACGACTTTCAACCAAGCTGTCCAGCGTGGAACTTACTTCCCTGAGCAGGTCCTGCATCAAATCTCTCACCACTCATGTGTACACAATATCCTGATGTATGGTTTCAGACAGAGTCTTGATTGCACGTAGAGATTCATTAATCAGAGCAGAATGTAGGTTGACAGTTACAAGAGTACCCTGTAAGGTTTTAGTAAGTACTTCATGTTAGCGTTCTAGGAGGAGTTTCTCTTGGTTAGTGAAAATGACGGCGGGGGGGGGGCTTGGTTCTTTGTCGGTTAGTACACGTTAGTGGGTTAAACGTGCACTTTCCCCCCCTTTCCATTTCCATGCATAGAACTATGTCGAGACTACGTCTACCTCCTGCGGGGAGTCTGGTCTCTGTACCCGCGGGGATGGTTTGACGTAGGGTTTGATTTGGTTTGCATGCACCCATTTGTAGACAAGCTCCTGTCTCGCTTTGGTGATGCGTAACCTGTATGCAACTGGAGAGAGTTTTGCCACGATCTCAAATGGTCCTGACCAGCAGGGCAGGAACTTCTTAGCTTTGCGTGCCGGTTGGGCGAACCGAAAGTAGAATACTTTGTCACCCACCTCGTATTCGCGGCTGGTTGTCTTTTGGTCGTAGTAGGCTTTAGCGCCTTCTACGTTGGTCTCCAGTTTCTTCTGAGCGTGCGCGAACGTAGCTCTGAGGTGTGTTTTCAAGTCTGCCACATACTGATGAGCGGTATAGGCAGTGGCAACACTGACATCCTCTGGGTGATACAGGAGGTGCAGTGGTAGAGTCATCAGTCTGCCGGTCATCATCTCAAAGGGCGTAACCCCAGTGGATCGCTGTGGAGTGGACCGTATGGCCATCAGGACCAGAGGGAGCTTGACGTCCCAGTCCTTCCCAGTGGAGCAGACGTACTTTTTGAGCATAGAGACGACCGTGCGGTTCATCCGTTCGACCTGTCCGGATGACTGTGGGTGATAGGGGAGGTGGAATCTCACTTCCACTCCCAGAAGTTCAAACAGGGACGTCATTACACTGGATGTGAAATGAGTTCCCCGGTCAGAGTCAATGCAGAGTGGAAGTCCCCATCGACTGAAAACGTGGTTAATCAGCAGTACAGCGGTTGTGACGGCTGTATCGTTTGGCGCTGGAAGGCATTCCACCCACTTCGTGAAACTGCAAGTTACAGTTAGCATATATTTGTTTCCTCTTGCCGATTTGGGAACCGGTCCAACCCAGTCGATCTGCAGGTGGGACCAAGGGAAGGTTATTCCCCTGCGTTGCAGTGGTGCTCTAGCAAGCGGCTGGGAGGGTTGAAACTGGGCACAGATGAGGCAGCCTTGGACATAGCTGTGTACATCCTTGGACATCGATGGCCAATATGCTACTTCCGTCAGTGACGCGAGGGTAGCTTTTGTTCCGCGGTGACCTCCAACCGGAGTGTCGTGGGCGTAGGCAAGCATCACTCCTCTGTGGTCGAGTGGAACAACCCAGCGCGACGGGCCGTGATCGTCACGTATGTAAACTAACAAATCGTTTTGTAGTTTCAGATGCGCGAGTTGACGATGCAGGGTTACCAAATCTCGGCTTGCGCCAGTAGGTGGTGACGGTTGTTTAGACATCGGGCCCTTTTGGAGAAGCTCGCGGATGAGCTTCAGGTCAGGATCTTGTTCCTGCATGGTGACTAGGTCCGCGTCATGTGGTTGTCTGCCTAGAAACACGGGTACCCCAATGTTCTGAGGTTCGTCTGCCTGTTTAGCATGGCGACGAGTAATCGCACAGACCTCGTGAACGGCCTTGGGAGGAAGCCACTCGTCTTTGAATTCCCAGCAGGTTCCCTGGTCAGCACCGAGCTTAGCAAGGCGGTCAGCTTCGTCATTACCATCTTTCTCCGGACCTATGGTCCTGGAGTGACCTTTGACCTTTTTCCAGTAGACCATTATGCCTTTCTCAGTGGTGAGCAGATCACACGCTAGGAATAACTCCGAGTGTTTCACGTCTCTGTTCCTGGCATTTTTCATGTTGTTCTCCTTCCACATGGGGAAGTGAGATATGAAGCTGTGTCTAGCGTAGTTTGAATCTGAGCAAAGGACGATTTGAGTGATGTCCAAGGCTGCTGCCTGCTGGAGGGTTATCAACACTGCAGCAATTTCGGCGTACTGACTAGACTTTTGGCCCAACCGGTAGTGATTTGGTTGCTTAGTGTCACAGTCCACCCAAACAACTCCAACCCCAGCACGGAGCTGGCCTTCGTGAAGGTAGGAGCATCCGTCAGTGTAAACTTTCGGAAGCCCTTGGCAAACATTCTCATCAAAGTAGCGATGATTGGATGCGGTTGGGTAGACTGCGGCAGGTGTGTCCAGGGGGCCCATGACGGAGTCAGAGTCACAGTGCTGGCAGCCTGCTAGCCCTTGTCCTAGCGCTAGCTTGGTGTTCTGACCATACTTGACCTCAATGTTGTATCCTTGGAGCACCATCATCCACGTCGCAATGCGGCTGTTTGACACTCTTCCTTCGCGCAGTCGCTGGCTGTTTAGGAAGGTGACAGGCTGATGACACGTTTCAATGATCACTTTCTGTCCACCGATGTAACTACGAAAGTGTTCGACGGCCCAGACTGTAGAGAGGAGGGCTCTCTCACAGTCTGAGAACTGGAGTTCCACCTTGCTCAGAGGCTTGCTGGCGT